TAATTTTGCCAATTTCCTTCCTCTCCGAAGTTGGACTGACACATGCTGTAATGTTTTTGAGCAAGGTTTGGAGGGGAAGTGTGTAGGGCATGCACAGAGAGGCCTGGAGCACTAGGAATCCCTGGATGAACAGCCTGGGTGGTGGCAGTGTTGCCACAGTGGGGGCTACCCACGGGTGAGTAGAGGACATGAGGCTAGAAAGGTAGGCACTTGCTCATGGAAGGCCTCGAATGTCAAGGTAAGAGTTTGAACTTTATTGGAAATAGCGACTCTAACAGAGCTTACTGAGTTCGCACTCTATGCACTAAGAGCTATTAATGAATCGCCTCATTTCAGGTCTCTCAACGACTCTCCAGGTACTATTATTATCTCCAGATTGCAGATGAAAAACTGAGTCACAGAGAGGTGAAGAAAATGCCCCTGGGTCCCACAGTTGTGTGAAAACATTTTTACATGGAGCTGTGTTGTGGGAATCTGGCAGCTGCAAGTCAGATGCGTTGCAGAGAGGAGAGACCGCAAATGGGTACCGTAAGAGAGGCACCAGAGAAAGGTAACAAGAGCCTGAAGTCGAACACTAGCAGAGGGAATGGCAAGAAAGGAATGGATCCGCAGACTGAGCGGATGTGCTGGGCAGTGGCAGAGAGGAAGGTATCACAGATGCCTCTCAGCTGCTGAGACCAGATGTCCTGGGTGGGTAGGTCTGTCCTCAGAAGAGGCTGAGCCAGGGAGAGGCACAGATTTGGGGGGAAGATGTGGAGCTCAGTTTGGGGGTATAGTGAATGCCTAAGGAGCCTGTGAGACGCCCTGCCCCCCTCCCCCCGAAGGTTATCTCACAAGCACTGAAAACTAGAGGCTTGATCTGTAGAAAAATAGAGTTGTAACGAGTTTGCATCTAGGTATTGCTTGAAACTGTGGGAGTAAAGATAGATGATGGATGATTAGATAGATAGATAGATTGATAGATAGATGATAGATCGATAGGAAGGGTAGAATAGACAAAGGTGCCTAGTGGACATCCACAGTTAGGAAAAGAAAGGGGAGCCCACAGAGGAGCAATTCTCAGAGGTGGCAGAGCCAGGTAAGTACCTTGTTAAGAAAATGAAGGGAAGAGAGAATTTCCAAAAGAAAAGGGAGTTGAAGTCAAATGCTGAAAAACCCACAGAGAGTTATGACTTAACCAGGAATTTCAAAATAGAGTCCTGATGAGCATTTCAGAGAATGAAGGGAACCCCTTAAACTCTGCTCATGGGGGAATACATGGGCACATTTCCAGAGACCAAATTGGCAATATGGATCAGAAGAGTTAAATACTGCATATCTGGAAATTATACTTCTAGAAATTATACCTCTAGAAATGTATATAGAAAAGCAATACTCTTGAAGATGCAGTAAGATGGAGCTATGGGGCTGTTGGTCAAAATTTTGTTTAAAATAGTGAAGGGGCACCTGGGTGGCTCGGTTGGTTAAGCATCTGCCTCGGGCTCAAGGCAGGTTGTGATCCTGGGGTCCAGGGAGCCTGTGTCGGGCTCCCTGCTCAGCAGGGAGTCTGCTTCTCCCTCTGCCCCTTCCCCTCCCCCTGCTCATGCTCTTTCCCTCAAATAAATACATGAAATCTTAAAAAAATAAAATAGTGCAAATTTATCAACAGCACAAATGTCCAACAATAGGGAATATTTGATGTGTACAAAGAGGATTGTGATTGGTAATAAAGGTAAAGAAGCAGGTTACAAAAACTGTGTATGTTTCTCCCACTACACCCCACCCCACCCCTTTTAAAGGAAGGCAATATAGAGAAAGAACTAGAAGGATATAATACAAGAATCTCATGATGGTTGTTTCTGGATGGTAGGATATGATAATTATAAGATCTCTGTTTTTCCTTTCTGCACACCCATTTACCCTCCCTCCCTCCTTTGGATTACCTGTGTCTTCTATAATGACCCTGTCTAATAGAAATACAATGTGAGGGTGCCTGGGTGGCTCAGTCGTTAAGCGTCTGCCTTCAGCTCAGGTCATGATCCCAGGGTCCTGGGATCGAGTCCCACATCGGGCTCCCTGCTCGGCAGGAAGTCTGCTTCTCCCTCTCCCGCTCCCCCTGCTTGTGTTCCTGCTCTCGCTATCTCTCTCTCTGTCAAATAAATAAATAAAATCTTAAAAAAAAAAAAAATACAATGTGAGCCACATATATAATTTTAAACATTCTAGGAACTACATTTAAAAAATAAAAAGAAACAGATAAAAATAACCTTAATAATATATTTTTAACCCCAATATTTCAATGTTATCATTATAATATGTAATCAACACAAGAAAATATTAATGATATCCTAGATTTTTCAAAACACTCGGCCTTCCAAATCTGGTATGTATTTTACATTTACAGAATATTTCAGTTTGGGCCATCCACATTTTAAACACCAATGGCCATACGGCTTCCGTATTGGACAGCAAAGCTGTATAAAATTAATAGCTAACATTTATCAAGTGCTTACTATGTGCTAGGCACTCTGTAAACCCGTTGGGTGGGGATTATAACTCATTCAATCTCATGGTAACTCCTTAAGGTTGTTATGATTATTATTGCCTCCATAAGCACATGTTGCTAGTGTAATAACACCATGGTAAAAGTTTTGGAGTTTTTTGCAAGTCATTTCCCCCATGGGATGGTGGTAGAAGCTGGGTTGCAAAGGCTTATTGAGTCAAGAGGAACTGAGGGAGTTAGAGAGATTAAACCTTACTCAAAAAGTTTGATGGTGAAGAGAAGTTAGCAGAAACATGAGGACCAAAGGCTTTTTGTGGGGTGGGGAGACCTGAAGGTGAAGTGGGCTAAAGAGGAGGGAGGGGGATGAGAGGTAAAAGGGAAATGGCCAGAGATGTCCTCAGACCCAGCGCTGGAGGAGGACAAGGGCTCTGTTGGATAAACATAGCCTGGCCAGTGCTGGGGGGTGTGATGGACGCCACTGCTCCCCAGCTGGGGGTGGAGGTGGGGGTCATAGCCTGGGAGGCAGGGCGCAGACACAGGTGACTCCATCCTGCAGGTGAATGCTGGGACAGAGGGGGGGTGGGGGTGGGGGGGTGGGGAGTTGAACTGAGTGGTGAAGAATGAAGTTAGCCTGTAAAGAATCAAAAAGGGAGGGGATATAGGCTTGAGAAGTACTTGATGACAAGACCAGATGACTGGATGAGGAAGATGAGAGAGCGAGGATCTGAGGACAATTACCAAGTTTCCTGCATGAGCAAAGTCAGAGACCGTAAGGTTTACTGAGTGCCTCCCTGGAGTCACACATTGGTCCTGTGCACCATATACTAATCTCACTCATCCTCACAGAGGACCCATATAATGCTCCCCCTTCCACAGATGTGCAAGCTGAGGCAAGATTATTGGCCCCACGTCTCACCATTAGTAAGTGGAAGAGTCAGGATTTGAGCCCAGGTTATTCCAGAGACAGAGGGAAGGAGGAGAAAAATGAGGAGGGTCCAGAGCTAGGACCGGGGGTCCAGGGGGGTGGGGGGTGGGGTGCAGGTAGGCGCTGAATGAAAGGGAAGCAGCTGTGTGGGATGGGAGGGTCCTCCAGCCTGAGGAAGGCAGGATCAGTCTTTGGGCAGAACTCAGCAGCATGGAAGGGAGGACCGGCAGGTGGAAAGGCAGGGTTGGGGAACAGAGGTGGGAGAAGGCGCAGCAGGTTTGGTTTAAGGTGGGCTGCTGTCCACTGGTGAGAAGAGGAGGCATTTGTGTACCCCATCAGCTGGGGGGCGGCAGAGGCAGAGACTGGCTGGGTGAGAAGGCCTAGGAAGAGATGGGGGCCAGGTGGGGAGCACTGATGCTAGATCCAGAACACAGTGGCAGGCTTAGAGGTGACAGGTTCTTCTCTTAACCTACTGCAGAAAAATTGACAATAGAGGAAGAGGCCCTAAGAGGAGCAGAAATAGAGGAAACTGGGCAAGGGATAAATATCTGTAGAGGGAGGGAAAGGATGGAGAGAGGTTAGAGAGTCACAGGAGAGGAAAGCCAGAGAAAGGAGGCTGGGGAGAGGGAAAGGGGAGGGAGGATGAAGGTAGAACCACCATCACCTGGAGCACGCAGTGCCCCGAGCACCTTAACCCTGTGACTGCCTGTCCAGGGAGTTAGCTGCAGCTGTGGAGGGTGCGGATGGAATGAGGGTGGAACCTGAGCCAGACCAGGATCACTGCTCAATCCAGACTGCGACCAGACTCAAGTCACTGGTCCTGTGGACTCTGTTTCTTGATGTGTAAAATGGGGCTACTGACAGACAGCTAGATGTCAAAGTATTTCACAAGCACCACCACAAGGGAAGGTGTTATTATAAAGATCTATCAAGTTAATACGAATATGTATCCCCAGAACCATGCAGATGAAAACAGTTGTGGCCGGTGTAGATGCAAGTCTAGAAATGGCCCGGTAGATTGCCAGCTCTTCTACCTGCCCAGTTTAGCCAGTTCGCGGCCAATGTTCAGCCTCGCGGTGGGGTAGGAGGTGAGGGCCTGCGGCTGGACAGATGGTTCATCTCCGGCTAGGGGCGCAAGGCCCTGGGCAGGGTTAAACTTGCTCGGGCTCCTGTCTTCTCCGTGGCAGCCCCCTGTCGCCGCTGAGCACAGGCCCAGGCAATGCTTACCCAACTGAACCCGCGTCCCCGTGGGGATCTTGCTCCAACAAAATACCCAGTCATCTCCTTCTCTATAAAGCGAAAATCTCAAGCTGTGCCTTTGCCCAGCTCCGCACCCTCGCCCCCTTAGTGCTGTGGCCTGCTTAGGTCTCCACCCGGAGGAGCTCTCCCTTTCCAGGACTGAGGCTGGAGCAAAGGAGGAGGGGGAAGAAATAAATGAAAAGTCGGGGTGGGGGGTGGAGCAGCGAGACAGGGAGGGAGAATAGACAGCCTGAAACGGAAACCGGCGAGAGAGAGAGAGAGAGAGAGAGAGAGAGAGAGAGAGAGAGAGAGACCAGCCAGTATAGAGAGCCAAAAAGAGCCGGAGAGGTCGCAAAAGAGGCACAGGCGCTGGCCGCGGATTCGGTAACGATTCCTTCCGCAGGCGTTTCTGCCGCGGCTCCGCAGCGCTCGGCCCCGGGCTGCCCCGGACGCGCACGGCTGTAGGGTGCGGTCGCCTCACCTCCCCCCTCTCGCCGCCCCCTCCCCACCTCGCCCAAGGGGGCCGGAACGGCGTCGGCGCGCGGGGGCTTTTCGGAGCAGTCGAGTGGAAAATAGACTTTAACCCGCTTTGTGGCGACGAGGGCGCCCGAAGCGCTCTCCCGGACCAGGGCTCCCGGCGCTCAGGCGGGCCACTCCCAAGACCCGGCCTGGAGTCCCTGCAGAGTCACGCGGCACGCGGAACCCCTGGTCTCGGGGCGCCGGCAGGCCCGGCCCGGATCTGCGCACCCGGCCGTGGCCGCGCCGCCCCGACTGACCCCGGCGGCGGCGCGGAAGCGGAGCGCGCTGCGGTCCCCTCCTTGCAGTGCGCTGGCAGGGTCCGGGTCCCAGCCTCCCCACCACCGCCCAGCGCCCTCCTAGGCCTCGGTGCGGTGTTTCCAGCGGCCTGGAAGGCCCCGGTGAAAAAGTTTGCGGAGTACTGGTTCTCCTCACCCTCTCACCCCCAGGAAATTATTGCAAGAAATGGAAACCTGACGGAGCAGAGTCGTCCGCTGCTCCGCGGTCGCAGGTGGAAGGTGAGGGTCAGGGGAGGCCAGGCGGCTGCTGCGTTCCCGGGATGGCTGGTGTGTGTATTCTTGGAGGAAGGGTCGACTTGCTCGGCCAGCTCCAAGTTAAGGCCCGAGGCCCGGGCCCGGCCCGGCCCGCCTGCACCTGAGCCCCACGACGAAAGAAGGCGAGGAAAGCAGCAGATCGCCCTGCGCTGAGGCCCGCCGTCCTGGTGCGAGCAGAGCGCGGCCGCCGTGGCTGGGCCAAGGAGGTGCTTCCGAACCCGGATTTGCGGCTTGAGGTCTGCAAAGTGACCACTCCGGCGACTCCTCTCGCGCTGTCCCCGGCCTGGCCCCTTGTGAAAAGAACTGGGCGTCCCCTTTCTGGAGCTGTCCCCCGCAACACTCAGAAAACGCGAAGCCTCACGAACAAGGCCGCGGCTTTCAGACCGCGGCCCAGGAGACAGACGGTGGGTGAGCGGGAGGGCCCGGGAGGCCAGGGGAGCAGTGCCCTGGTTATCGGAGCACGTATTTACTGGGCAAAAAACACCCTCCCTCCACTCGGATCCAAGTTGTCTGAGAACTGAAACGACATCCCAGGATGAATTGGAGAGGGTTCAACTGAGTTACACATCGGGAAGTGGGGTTGGAGTTTCTCCCAAGCCCCAGGCCCCTCGGACGCCTTCTTCGGGTCCCGCGTGGGCTGAGACGGTTGGGGAGGTCGCCAGACTCAGCTGAAAGGGCAGAGACGCGAAGAGAAGCCTGTGGCGAGGGGCGGGTGGGGGGTGGGGGGAGGCCTAGATAGCCCGGCAAAGGCTCCAGTCCGCTTTTTGCCTCCGACTGCTGGCTCCTTCCCCACCCGCCGTCCCTCGCCCCGCCCCGCCCCGCCCCCCACCTTGGGGCAGGTGAGCGGCGGCCAATGGGCGAGCGCGGGGCAGGTGCCGGCTAACTCGCGCCTCGCAGCGCAGCGGCCGAGGCTGAGCTGGGCAGTGCTGGGAGGACCAGGGGCGGGGGTCTGTCCTGGCTGGACTCGGGAGGGAGGGGGCCGGGCTCAGCCCCCAGGCCGTAGAGGCAGCTCGCAGCATCGCACGGAACCCGCGCCAGTGCCCGCGCCCGGAGCTGCCCGCTCGGCCCCAGAGGCCGGCGCGCCTAGCTGCGCGCCGTGGCCCGACTCCGCGTTCGCTCGCTCTCACGCCCCTCGCCTCTCCGCGCCTGGCTCGCCGGCAGGGTCTGAGCGCGGGCGGGCGGGCGGGGGAGGTGAGGGGTGCTGGTGTGTGTGCATGTGCCTGGCTGGGTGCACACCCCGCACGGCGGCGGCGCCAGGACGCGGAGCGCTCCCCGGAGCCCGGCTGCCTCGCTCGGCTCTGGCGACCGCGACCATGTTCCAGCCCACAGCCAAGCGCGGCTTTACCATCGAGTCCTTGGTAGCCAAGGACGGCGGCACCGGCGGGGGCTCTGGCGGCGGGGGCGCCGGCTCCCATCCCCTGGCGGCGGCCGCCTCGGAGGAGCCACTCCGGCCCACGGCGCTCAATTACCCTCACCCCGGCGCGGCCGAGGCGGCCTTCGTGAGCGGCTTCCCCGCTGCCGCCGCCGCCGCCGCCGCCGCCGCGGGCGCCGGTCGCTCGCTATACGGTGGGCCCGAGCTTGTGTTCCCCGAGGCCATGAACCACCCCGCGCTGACCGTGCACCCGGCGCACCAGCTGGGCGCCTCCCCGCTGCAGCCCCCGCACTCCTTCTTCGGCGCCCAGCACCGGGACCCTCTGCACTTCTACCCCTGGGTCCTGCGGAACCGCTTCTTCGGCCACCGCTTCCAGGGTGAGTGCCCATGCTGTGCCCGCTTAGGCGGCCGGCCAGCGCCGGCGCTGCGGTGGCGCGGGGGAGGCTCGGGGGCGTGCGGGGCTGTTCAGAAGTTGTTGAAACAAGGCTGTGGGGTCCGCAGAGGCCGATTCCCAAACGGGGAAGAGCCGCGCCGGATCCATATGCGCTCCTGGGGCGTTGGGTTTGCTCCCAGAGAGCCAGGTTGGGACAGCCAGGCTTGCCCAGAAACGGTGCGGGTTCGGACGCCAAGCCCGGGCGCCTCCTTGGAGCCTCTCCTGATCCTCCCCGCGGCCTGCCAGAATCTCTCCGGGCTGAGCCAGTCCCAGCCCAGGGAGCGCAGCGCCCGCCGCCCCCTCCCTCTGCCCGGGCTGGACCTGGGACCCTACTTCGCTCGCACATCCACCACCAATTCCCAGATATCGCCCTCGCTGGCGCGTCCGAGCAGGGCAAAGTCCACCCGCGTGCCCCGGGTCTGCGGAGAGAAGGGGCAGCAGGAAGGGCAAACTGGAGAGTTAATGTTCAGTGTGGAGTGCTCCACCGTCTTGGGGTGTTTCTCACCAACCTCGACCCGACTTCTTCAAGTCACAAGTGCCTCTCGGACCCAGGGCCGGGAAGGGTTGCAATAGCAACCGGCTTCCTTCGCCTTGCGCCTACCCGGCTGCTGCGGGACCGACGGCTGTCCTCCCAGGCAGGGGGCGGGGGCAGAGGGCTTATAAGGTCGTAGGCTAACCGAGCTCCCACGTCTTCACTGGGCAATAGGTTTGCTAATGAAGATCCCCCACTGGCCTTACAAACGCACACACATGTTTCAATTATCTGACTTTCCCGAAGGAAAGAGAGTTGCATTTGCTGGAGTTCGTTTTCTTCCTTGAATTTGTTAAAGTTTGTTTCTCTTTTCTTGTCTTTTTTTTTTTTTTTAAGAGTGGCCTTAATTTATGCAGTAATTGCTTTAGTTTCCAGTTTTATTTTGTTAGTGTAGACGGGACTGGACCCCAGCCTTTTGAGGTTCCATAACTCAGAGCTAGGTAACCCGGCTTTTAGTGAAACAAATGAAAAGGATATGGTTAGAGCTTCGGCTGCCAACCTAATCTGAGGATAAACCGCCGTCTACACAGTCAAAGTAAACCAGATGCTTGGTACCATTATTTAGATAACAGAAGAAAAATGATCTTTTGAAGCTTTGGCTATAGCTACTGAGCTGTTTCACGGAAAGCCACTTTCCTGGTCCAATTTGTCAATTTGCTTAGTCCCATCTGACCAGTAGATACTGACCCAGCAGATCCCACAATATAAAAGACTGTAATTACTTGAACAAGAATTTTTGTGGGCAGACTTGTCTCCCCTGCGATTTCAAAGATTTGCCCAAATCAGGGGGTGAGGGAGGGAGCCTATGGTGTCAGCCGCTTTGGGCATGAGACCTGTCAATTATAACCATTGTTTACTGCTATAAATGAATGAAGTTTTATTCAAAACTGAGTAAACCGCCTCGGTGCTCCTTTGGCCCAGCCCAGCCTGGGTCTCAAAACCTGGCACCCATGGGCCGATCTGAGAGTCTCGGCTATTTCTGAACCGTCGGGCCCGGGCAGTAGGGGGACCCGTGGTTAAGAGGCTGGTGCAGAGACAGGGGCTCTGAGGAGAGGGCAGAGCCGGTCCCAAGCCCTGTGGTCTCTGCTCATCCGGGGATGGCCTCCCCGGCGGCCCCGGCAGCGCCCCCGGCTTCGGACCCGGCGCCCCACGCCCTCCTCGCTGCTTTTCCCGCCTCTGGCCTCGTCCCCGCGGGCGCGGGCGCCGAGGGCCGGGGACACCTCGCGACAGATCCAGCTCCGGCTCTGAGCATTCCCAGCCAAGCGAGGCCAGATGAATTCTCCGAAAAAAACCTTCTCAGAAATTGCCGCCGTTCCCTGAGCCATCAGTCCCGGCGGGCACGTTGTCGAGTTGCAAAAACGGTTGGATTTTTCCCTCAAGAACCGTGTCTGGACGCGGAGATGGAGCCATGTGTGGCCGCATTTTTGAACTCGGAAATCCGTTGGACACGGAAGGACTTTTCCGACCCTGAGACGTTTCGGCGTTGGGTCCGGTCTTCGTCGCCGGTGGGGGACGGTGCGCGCCCCGGCAGCTGTGAGCCGGGCGGTCCCAGCGGGACCTCGGGGCTGCGGGCCGAGCCGTCCCAGGCCCTCCGGCGCCGCGTTTTCTAGAGAACCGGGTCTCCGCGATGCTCATTTCAGCCCCGTTTTAATGCAAGAAACGAAACCCTACACGAACGAAAAGGAACATGTCTGCGCTCCGTGCGCAGCGCCCTCCGGCAGCGCGGGCCGGCGCGCGGGGAAGCGGCTTCTCCGCTGAGCGAGGCGGTGGAAGAGGAAGAGCCCACGCGGGAGGGTCTGGATCAGGCGGCGGCATTCAGAGGCTGGTGGCCTTCGAGGCCTGAAGGGGAGGAGCCGGCGGAGACCGGGAGTTAGCCGCACTTCGGTGCCGTTTCTCGGGCTCAGGAACTTTCCAGACCGGGAACGGCGTCCGGAGGGGGCCCGCGAAGCCCCAACCCTCAGGGATCCGCGTTGGTAATGGGCCGGTGCTTCAAAGGGCGCCTTTGTTCCGCCAGGAGGAGGGGGAATGAGGTTATCTCCGCAGCTCGGCCGGCCTCGCCCACTCGTCGCCCCAGGCTCCTCCGCCCAGCCGGCGGGCCGTGGCCTCTCCAGGAGGGAGTGCAGGGGCGAGCGCCCGCACTCCGGATCGCTAGCTCCCACCTCCCGCCACCTCCGTCCTGGGAGTCTCTACTGCCAGTATTTGCCTTGAAAGGGCCTGCATCGCGAGGCTGGAGGAAAACGGGGTGGGGTTCAGTTCCTCCTGGCTCCCGGGAAGGCTAAGTCAGCCTCCTTCCACTTTCCCACCTCTCCTTGTCGGAAACGGACAATCCACTGCCCCAGGCGAGAACTACTGCATGGAAACAGGCCACACTGGCCCCAGCCCCAAGCTTGTTCCGCTCTTGTGGTCCAGTTAAGGGAAACTGAAGCTGTGGTAGGGATTGCCATAATGAGAGGGGCCCAGGAACACAGGCCCCCAAAGCATCACTCTGTCCTTACAGAAACGTAGAGCTATCGATCAGTTTGTCCGGATAGTTAGTTTTGCACTAAACCCCCTCTTTCTTACAGGAAAAAAGCCTTGCTTCTTTTGAAATCCTATCTGTGATCACTTTTCAGTATCTTGAGTCATTTTCCTGCCCCTTGCTTCTTCGTGGTTGGGTCAGAAGGACCCCTATGTTTCTGCCCCTACATGTAGACATAGACTGAAGGATACATTCTATCTGCCCCAACAGGACATGACAGTAAACCAAGCAACTTAGCTTTTTCTAAAATACCCAGACTTGAGGCAAAGGGATGTGTGTATGTCAGAAGGGCAGAGTAAGCTTGTTGCTTCCATCCTCCAGTTTGGGTTTATAAAGACAAACACAGAGAACACCACGCAAGGGACCAACACATACTCTCAGAATTACAAAAGAGCCATTAAGTCATACACACCGAGGCAGACTGCAGTCCTGCTTTCTCAGCCACAGACTGTCCTTGACACCCCTGCACCCCGTTCACTCCCATCCACAGGGTCTCTCCAGGCTGCCACCTCACTTTTGACCAGCCTGGGCCAGTTGAGCTGCTGAGGCCAACCCTGTGAACTCTGGGATGAGTGAGGCCTTCTCCCTGTCCAGCTCACCTGTCTAGAGGAAAAACCACTGTTGGGACTTCACCCAGGCTCAGAACAATGCCGTTTTTTGAAGCAATTTAACATCAGCAAGAAGTGTCTGCTTCCCACCCACCTCTCCCACCTTTCTCTGGCCTATCATACTGGTACCCACCTAAGATTTTCTTATTCCTACTTGGATCAGGCTCCTCCTTTCATTCCTTCTTACCCCTCTATGCCAGACACCTCCCCTGATCATCTATCCCCTCCACCACCAGCAGTTAAACTTCCTCCAGTCAGGCCTAACAGCCCTGGGCCTGCCTCCACCTTGAAGGGCTCACTGGGCAGAGTGTCCCCCTCCATCTCCCCAGGATGTGATGCCATTCCCTTTTGTAGCTGCACAGATCCAGCCACTTTTGAAACGGGAAAGTGATTGTCAGGGGACTTTACCTCCCCTCTGGTAACCTTGTTCCAGAGAAGACCCCAGCAATAAAGTTCACCTGTGTAAGCGTCCAAAGCCCAAGGACTTGGCAAAAGTAATGCCAGTCAGTTTCCACCAGCAGAGGGACAGAACAGTTACCTGGAGAGTTTTAGCAATAGCATCTCAATTATGTGCCCTTACTTCACTTACAGGGGTTATTTCCAGAGATGGAAGATGTCACTTGAGATCCAAACAATTGCCTTAAACAAAACAACAGGTCAAATTGGGTAAAACCAGTGGGGCCATTTCTGAAGAAATTAATTGGATCAGTCAATCTCAACAGCTAACTGTGTGAAAACATTCCTTCTAGGGCTCTTCCTTGTCAGTGGGTCAGGGGTACTGATATGTGCCACTGCATGAGAATCCACGGGTGATGTCAGGGCCTGTTTCACATCTGAGAGCATGTGTAACCAAGCCAGAGATTGTGTGAAGGCCTAGTCGGGGGGAGGGGGTATTGAGCGTGGGGCTGTGGGTGGAAGTTTATTTTGGCTTTTGTAGTTCCTGACCTCACCACCTGGGCCTTGTCCAACCCAGTGTCAACCCCTCCTCCTGCATGTAGGAGCTGAGTTCCCATGATGGCCAACATTTGCCAAGGGACAATCACACTCTTTGAAAATCCTGTATGGTAGATGGGAGAAAAAGACAGTAGGGAGGCTGGAGCATATATTTACACACGCCCATGCAGAAACCAATATATCTATATCTATATATATTAGAGAGAAAGATGACATCTAGATATTTATACACGTGTTTCTTCAGCACGGGACTATTCAGGGATGAAGCAAGGCCTTTTCCCACCAGAGAACAGTAGAAGTCTCCTGGGGGGAGTGGGCTTTACCTGAAGGCCTGGGGGAGAGAGGCGGGGAGGGGGGTGGAAGAAGCCTGACCTTGGACCTTCAGGTGTTGCCTGGACACTGAGGTAGCAGCTGGCCTATTTTTACCACTTGCAAGGTAGAGCCTGGGCCTGTTGGCAGGAATTTTCAAAGGGCTAGCAGCCTGAGCATTTTTAGCTGCAGGGGTGGTTTAAACAGGTGTGAAAAGAGAGTGCCTTGGGTCCCTTCTAGTTCCTGAAAGTGTTTGGCATGAGGGTGCTTAGCAGCCTCACTGTTCCCCTTACCACCTTCCTGACACTCAGCTCTGTCCCTACTCTTGTTGAGGGAGATAGGACGGGGTCAGGGGACAAAGAGAGCCAAGGGACTTTTCCCACCTCCCGGCCTCGTCCGCTGCTCCAGGCGCTGTGGATTTGGGCCGGCTGGCGCCTCGCTAGGCCTGGGCCCTCCTCCTGGCCCAAAGAGCGAGCCGCTGCTCGGCTCCTCCAGGCCTCCGGCGACCGACGGGGTAGCTCTGGAACCCTAGGGAAGTACTGGGGGAGGCGAGAGGAGTGGACTTAAGCAAGGGGTGGCACAAGGGAAAGGGGAGAAGTGGGGGCGGGAGTCCAGGATTGGAGAGGGTAACGGAGCGCCGAGGGCGTTTGCGAGCGGGGCCAGAGGGCCGGGCTTGGCCGGCTCCCGCGGGCGGCCCGGCGGCCGGGCTGCGGCTCACCGCGCGCCCCTTCTCTCTGTCTGTACCTGCTGTGTTGCCGTCGGCGGCGCGGCCGCAGCGAGCGACGTGCCCCAGGACGGGCTGCTGCTGCACGGCCCCTTCGCGCGCAAGCCCAAGCGGATCCGCACGGCCTTCTCGCCCTCGCAGCTCCTGCGGCTGGAGCGCGCCTTCGAGAAGAACCACTACGTGGTGGGCGCCGAGCGGAAGCAACTGGCCGGCAGCCTCAGCCTCTCGGAGACGCAGGTAAAAATCACCCGGCCGGCGCGCGCTCGCCCGCGAGCCCAGGTGGAGGTGGGGGCGGGCAGGTGCAGAGGGGCCCAGTCTCACGCCCCCGCCTTCCCCGGAGCCCCGTCCCACCCGGTTCCACAAGCCACCCTCCCCGCCCCCCCGCGGCCCTCCTGCAAGGCCCGCTCGAGAGCCCCTTCCCACCCGCTGCGTTTGGCCTCGCGGAGGCCGCGGGACTGCTGTCAAGCTCCAAGCACCCCCCAGGAGGTTGGAAGCAAACCACAACCCAGCCTGCTCTCAAAGTCCACGGGAGGCGCCAGGTTCTCAGGAGGAGGCAGGGCGTGGAGCCCCACGCCGCAGTCACTCCCGAGCTGTCCCAGTGTCCACTGGAGCCGTCTCAGCCCCGTGGTGGCGGCCGCTCTTCGCGGGTGCTCACGGCTCTGCGGGAGGCCCGGGCCTTTCCCCGCCCCGGCTTTGCGGCTGTTCATGGGCAGAGTTGGCGGGGGCCTGGCTGCCCACCAGCGGATGTGGTGTGGGGAGAAAGCCCGCGTGTCGTCAGGCTACGAACATCAGAAGCAGAGGAATTAGCCAGGCAGGGGCCAGCCCTGCTTGGGGTCCGAGGGTGGCGCTGATCTCTGCGCAGGCAGGCTGGTAGGGCTCTGGAAACTGGTGTTTGGGGCGCGCAGACCTGTGAGGCACCTGGGAATGGTGGGAAAGTAGATGCGGGGACTCAGGGACTGTGTTCACACGCTTGAAGGGCTGTTGAGTTGGGGAGGGAACGAACTCTAATGGCGTTGGAGAGGTTTTGACCTGGGTGAAATTACAGTAACCACGTAGTATTTTTGTAATTGATAATTAAGAAAAGAAAATTTTAAAGAACTAGATTGTAGTTATAGGGAGGCAGATTTGGGTTTATTGTAAAAACTGCCATAAATAATTGCTGCCTGGAAACACCACCTAAGCTCTTGGTCCCTGGGAGTAGCCGCTGTGCTGTAGGGGCTGGTTGCTGCCCTGGAGGCCGATTTCCGCGTCTGGATGGGCCTGGGGAGACCTTCTTCCCTTAAGTCCCTCACAGCTCCCAGATGTGCAGATGAGGGGGGTCTGCTCGCCTCCTTGCGGCTCCCGCCCTGCTGGCTCTTTGTCACCCTCTCCCCTTTCTTGCTGCTCTGGCCCCTACTACCTGCCATCCTAGTCCCATGAGGAAGCGTCTGGGGGGAAGGGGGCAGCCTGGGGTCTCCGGGGATTAGTGAAGATAGGAAGGGGGCCCAGTGGGGGAGTCCAGACCCTAAGTGCCTCCTCAGCTCCCCTGGCAGACATCACTCGCTGGTCCTTGCGTCCTATTTTGGTTTCTATTGTCAAGATGTCTTATCTGTCCGATGCCCCATTTAATCACATATTGCTCTCCTCTCCACTGTAGAACCCATGCTTTTTGGGCTGTTCTAACTGCAGAGATAAAGCTTACAAAACAACAGAGTTAATTTTTAAAACGTTTTAAAGAAATACATGCTAAAAAAAAAACAAGTTAATAAAATAATACCCCGTTCCCTCCTGGCAAACAGTGTTTTAAAATTGTTGTCTAAAACAAGGTGTCAATTTAAGAATGGTGTTTATAGTTAACATCATTTAAAAAGTATTAGGTATTAAATTTTAATTGCAGAAGTGTAAGAAAACAAAATGGTTTATAATGCTCCCACCCACAGATTTAACACTTGTTGAAATAATGTCATTGTTTTTTAAACTTCCAATTTTTTAGCTCAGTGAGAGCATTTTTAATTGTTTCTTTCAAACCGAATCTAGCTGCCTATTTGCTCCCAACAATGCCAGTTAGTAAATGTAATGATTGTTTCCTTCATTTTATTATGTTTCAAACATATTTAAAAGAAAACCAGATAGAATAATATGGTATATCCAGCTCAACTATCAAAACTCATGTCTAATCTTGTTCTATCTATAGATGAGCTGGTTTTAGCATATTGAACAAAAAAAAAAAAACAATAGAACTATGGGAGGTTTGAGCCTGAGAAACCATCCTGTAGAGGCTCATCTTTTCAGGTGAGGACTCTGAGATAGAGAGATGGATTGGGCAGAGCTCCCTAGGCAAGCAGATTGGATTTCATTATCTGCCTCCTTGCTAATTAACTGTGTGACCTTGTGTGAGTTACTCAACCTCTCTGAGCTCTGATTTTCTCATCTGGAAAATATATTGTTTAAGGATTAAAGGTACCCAATAGGAACTCAAATAATATTAATTCTCATCCCCAGTCCTTCCCTTCCCTCTGTTTAAAGTAGTATATATATCAAGTTAGTGTTACAGTAAGCCCCTAACCTGGGAATCCTGACTTAGTCTAGTGTTTCTTCTGCCATATCTGGTCTCCTTCATCATCATAGCTGTCTTTCTGTCCCTCTTGTAACTTACTATTTAGACTTAGGCTATCTAATTAATTATCCATCTTTCAGTATTTACTGGGCAAGCCTACCTGTCATTTCCAACTATTGGCTATTTATCAGGCGTCCGTCTCTACCATCAGTCCCCTACCATCTATTTCTACTGTCAGTATCTACATTGTCTCTTGGAGCTCTCCAATCCATCTTGCACAGACAGCTGTTTTATATCTAGCCACGTACTTCTGTCTGATCTCATTAAACTGCCTCTCCAAAGCTGGTTAACTTATATTTCCTATTTTCTATTAATTACGGTCTTCTTCTTCCTAACAATAGTTCTCAATTACCCAACTGCTGATTATTTCCTTATCCTCTATTCTGTTTTATCTTCTGTGTATCTACCATTCATCTCAAGTCGCCATCTCTATAGATCTCGGTAGCTAGTAACAGCATATTCATAAGCCTGCTAGTGCTTGCTTATCAGTCATCAGCTCTACCTTTGTCTTCTTTGTGGGCCTACATTGCTGTATCTGTAAGATTTGATGAAATGAACTCCGTGGTTCTTCCCAGCTCCGTGTTTTTGGCTCATCTATATTCTACTTCTCTGTGTTTCTATATGATGCTTCCTCCAAGTTCTCAGAGCTCATAATACATCTCCCATATATCATAATACACATAAGACTTTGCTGCTGTGAAATTATCTACTGTGTCCAAATGTCACTCTGTAGACTGGCTAGATGGATCTCGCAAGAAAATCTTAAAATACAGATTCCCAGGCCCCATTCAGGAGATTCTCTTAGGAGTTCCAGGATAGGATCCAGGAAGTGTTTTTAAAACAGCTCTCTGGGTAATTCTGATGAACAACAGGCCAGCTTTGGGAGCCAGAGGTCAAGCCTTCCTGTTTCTCTCTATACCCTACGGTCTGGCTCAGTGACGAGCAAGGAGTCGATGCTCCATAAACATGTATTGAATGAATAGGCAAATTTCTTTTGATTGTACACATATCCATGTGTTAACTTTATCAATCATTTCCCTTGCTTTCTGTAGTCACTGACCCCTCCCTTTCCCTCTGTTTTCTATTTTTCCCTTGCACTTTATTTTAGATGATCCAGTTTTATCCACCAGTTCGGGGATAAAACTCCTGGTAGGGTTAAGGAAATCAGTGTGTGGGTCTTAATCCAGGGCCCAGGGGTCTCTGTATGCGCAAAGCTTTTGTATGGAGTGTTGGGAGGTGAGCAACCCAAACTTCTTTGTTGGGGCAGGTTAGTATGTTTGGTTGAGAGTTGGGCCACCGGTCAATCCAGGAAGTGGAGGGAGTAGTCCCGGGAAAGGGCTAGTTCTCCTTTCTGGCTCTGATTACTTGCTCCTCACCGCCATGGTGCAGCCTCAGAGTCTGACCCAAGATGACTGGATGATGCCCATCTAAGCTTCAGTCCTGGTGGGGCAGACCCGGATTTGGGTCAGATCAGAGCTGTGAGTGGAAGTGAATGTGTGTGTGTGTGTGTGTGTGTGTGAGTAATGGGTGTGTGTAACATGTGTGTACTACAGTGTGGGGCACGTACAGGCAGTGTGATTGATGCCCAAAGGTCAGGTGATATCATATATGCACACGGCGTAGAATGCATCTCGGGTGCTTCTGTGGCACGTTAGTGTTATGGGGAATGAGAGAAAGCCTTTGGTTGCTCCAGGCTGACCAAGTGGTCAGTGTTTCCAGCTGCCCCTCCTGCTCTGAACAGTTTAGCAGGTGTTTCTTCACCTTCTCTGGCTTTGAGTTCATTTGAGCTGTGAGGGAAAGGGGTGTGGAAATGGAGTCCTTAGCCTTGGAGATTCCTCTTTTAGTAATGGGGGCAAAATGTAAAGTGTGCACACATGCAGAATATGCACAACAAGTGCCTGGAGTCTCCTTGAAGTCACAGCTGTGGGCTGAGGGAAGTGAGGGGAGACCTGCATGGGTGGAAGTTTCCCAGAAGACCTCAGGCCCAGAAGGCTTAGAGCGATGCATAGGATTCTAGGTTGGTGGGAAGGAAGGGGAGGGTTTGAAGTAGGTGGATTAAGACGGAGCAGTAGGTGTCAAGTCTGGCCACCGTCTTGGGGCCCAAGAACAGGTGGGGAGGTCTTAGAAGGAAGGAGTGTATGGTAACCTGCCTATGGGTTTTTCCCCCCAGGGGCATTGGTAAGGAGACTTCTTGGGGTCCATTCCTGCTCTGAAAAACTCTGCTTTTTAAGGGTTGGATGAGAAGGAGATATCCAAATGACTTGAATTTTAGGGAAAGGTCAAGAGGCCTTTGTTACTAGCTCGCTGTCTGTTCTGAGATGGACTCATCTCTTCTCCAAGTCTTGGCTCTTCTCCAAGAATTTCTGCATCACTCAAGTTCCAGAGTCCAGTGGGAAGCAGGCCAGGGCAGGGGAGGTAAGGAAACTGGAGTGAGTCCCTAGGGCCTAGTCCTGAAGAGGCAGATGACTCTGTGATGTCTCTCTGAGAGTGAGGGCAAGCATCCAGGACGGTCTGGCAGAGGAGGAGACAAGAAGGCTTAGGATGAGTTGGGCTATAGTTGATGGGGAGTCAGAGGTGGCCTCAGTTCGGTGGGTCTAGGATGGCATTGGGCTTGACCCTGAGAGTAGGAGGAGCTCATATGATCAAATAATAAGAAATGGATCCCTAGCAGAGGAGGGTATTACCTTGATAGGGTACTTGAACTCCTTGAGGACAAGTATTCTCCTGAAAGTATGCAGGCAGGAGCTACAGACTCTTCCATTTGGGATGGGCTAAAGTTGGGGGCCAGTGGAAATGAAGGGATCCAAATCTGGGTCATTCAAATAGCAGGTTATTCAAAAGTAAAGTCTGAAATAATTGGCTGGAGCTGTAGTTTGGTTGTGTGTTAGTACCTTTGTCCATTCATTTGCCCATTAATACATGCACACCTTCATTAATGTATACATACATCAGTCAGTCCTCTAATGCATTAATGCATGCATGCATGCATTCATTCATCCACAGCACCTTCCTCATCCAGTTTGATTCATGCTGACCCTTGCGCCTCCCAACAATAGGTCTCCCTCCCTGCCCCAGATTCTCCCTAGAAGTGGTTAATCCAATCCACAACATGGAGGATTAAGAATTGACCCTGTTGGAGAAGTGTCCACTGAACTATGCCTAAAATCTCTCTAGCAATTGCACTTCCCAAACCCCTTTTCCGATTAGACCTCGATCCCTCCATCGTTGATTTTCTTGGGCTCTCCAGTTCTGGCCCAGGCACCTCTTAACCAATAGCACAGTGCCAGGAACTTCACCTGTGCCCAGCTTGCTGAACAGACTGGAACGTGCCCACTGGGACTCCAGCGTAGACTACTACACTGCTCTGGTTCTCCAGGTTCCCACGGCCTGATGAGGAGACAGAGGTTCGAGCAGGTGCATGAACCCACTGCTTGGGTCACTGTTGCTGAGACAGGGAAAACTAAGGAAGCACAGACAGGCAGTGGGGCAGGTCTAGCCCAGGAACATCTGAGCAGGATTCTGAAGGCTAAGTAAGAGTACTCCAGGTGGGGTAACTCAGGCAAAAGTGGAGAATCTTGGAAGGATCTGGCTTCTCTGAAAAACTGAGACATTCAGTGAGGCGGGGACTTGGGAGGCCACAAGGAACCTCTCTCCAAACCCAGAGGAGACACAGATGGGGGAGGGGTTCCTTCAGCCAATATCCCAACTGTGCCTTCGGGGGCTAGTGTGCGGGTATGGTGGGGAGGCAGGTGCAGAATAAAGACCGCCTCGCAAAGCTAGCTCCCACAGAGCTGGGAGCCACACTGCATGACCTGGTTCCTTTCTAAGGCCTCTGTCCTCCAGGGAAAGGGCTCTGGGGTGACCCCAGATTGCCTTGCTGGGCTACAGAGGTGATGGGGGTGTCACTCTTGCCTCCTACTACACTCAGAGCCCAATTCTTTTTCTTTTTTCTAAGTAAAAAAATAACTTAATTGTTATCAGTAATGCACTAAAGACGGAAAAGTGGAAAGAAGAAAGGTCACCCCACACGTTAAGTACATTTCCTTCTAGTCTTTTTTCCCCATGCATAGATTTTGTTTTCCCATGGTTGTGATCACACTGTGCCCAAACTGCATCCTGCCCTTTTCACTGATATCATTAAGTCATAAGCATCCCCCTGTTATTACAGTCTTTGTAAACAGCATCTGGTCATTCAGCCTAAGGCTGTTCACAAGATAGCCAGTCTGCTTAGGGAGACAGTTTACCTCCCTGTTTCTAGAAAGCTGCCTCCTTGACCCCGGTTGTTTTCATGGAGAAAATATTCAGGATCACCTTTCATTTGGGTGTGCCAGGAAAGCTGGCCCTTGCCTGAAAACATAAGCTGTGCCTGGAACTCCACCACTGATAACTTTCCTTCTTCGGCCCAGTGCTGTGGGGCAGGGTAGCAGGCTGGGTCCATCCCACTATAGATAAGCCTCCTTCCTGAAAGGAGACTTGGAGTGTGTGTGAGAGGGAGAAGGTGCAGCAGAGGGCCAGCCGTCCTGGTGTTGCCCAGAGCTTCCCCGGGTTGCCCCATCACTAGGCTGGGCACGCTTAGGCCTCGGCCAGCCCCTTGGGCTCTCAAGAATGCTGCTCCAGCCCTGCATCCAGGCCTGAGTCACGCACATGCCTTGCGTAGGCGCTCACCCACCTACTGGCTGGCATAGTGTCAGTGGGCTCTAGGATAGGGGGCCGGGGCCGGGCAGGGGCCAGACGTGGTTGTGCTGAGAACCACCCAGAGCCCAGCCCGCCCTGTACCCAAGGAAAGATGGTTATGGGATCTAGAAGTTTTGCACCCAGAGTATCTACTGTTTTCCTTTGTCTGTCTGAGGTGAGACACGCAGGCGATGGGTTTGCACCCTGCCTTAGAGATGAGGGAAGAAGATCCTCCTCTTACACCATCCACTGAGGCCATGTGCCTCATTTCTTCCTGTCCCTGGATGGCTGCCCCCACCCCCATCCAGTGCTCTAACATTAAGGGCAGGGCAGACCCTGGGGAGGAGGTGCTATTAGGGGAAGCCTTGGATTGGGTGGGCTCCATGAAGCGGACAGGGGGTGGTGTCTGGGAAGGTGAAGGTAGAGCGCCCTGGGCAGGGAAGTGCTCCCAGGGCCCTGATGCCGGGCCTGCTTTTGGCCGCCACCGCCTAGCTTTATGGCTACAGCCTTGCCTTTCCGCCATTCTCAGGGACTAGCAGCTGCACTAAGGGTTGTCTTCTGAGGACTGCCCCTGGCCCCACCCAGGGTTCAAGGATCTTCCCTCAGCAGTCACTGATGCTGCCAAAACCAAAGTGCTCACCGTCATTCCACACACACGACTTCCCACTCACCACTGCCAAGGACACCAGGGGTCACCCAGCAGCAGCCGACAGCACCTACTGGCTTTGCAAATGAGCTGTCGTTTTCAGGACACCATCCATGTCTCGTAACCCTGCCATCTCTGCGTCACCTGCCCCAGGGACCCTCTGGAGCAAAAGCCCAGGAGATGCCCTGGAGCTGCAAGGCCCCCAGAAAACATCTCTCCTACAGATGAAGGACTTAAGCCCAGAGCAGGGAAGGAACTTAGCAAAGGATCAGCACCCGGGCCCATTTTTACCAACTCTGAGGATGGGGGGGATGGCCTGGCTCTGCAAGACCAAGTAAAGAACTGCAAGGTCAGGAGGAGCTGACAGATGAGTGAGGCTTCCTCCACAGTCCTCGAGCACTAAGTCTAGTTAGGGAGCTGGGATAGCCCTCCTCGATCATACACAAGAGGATGTTAAAGGCTGTCTCCTGGACACGGAGCAAATGCTGGGGAGGCGGGAGAAGTGAGGGGTGATGAAAGATACGGCTAAATCTGGGGAGGCTTCCTGGAGGAGGTGAGCTTAGCATTGTTGACCTGTCCCTCCAAGCCCCCACCACCCATCACAGAAGACAGTTGTCCGCTTTTGAACCCTCCCCTTGTCAAGACTCTCACTGCCTGACACAGAAGCAGGGAGCCCTCTCTGTTTAAAGAGGAGCTCACTTCTGTACCCTGCGATTTCTCCTATGGAACCTGTTCCCATATCTGGATGGGCTGTAGAGGCCAGCACTTTGGGGGCAGGAAGTTTAGAGCACTGCTTCAGGTGGGGCTGCAGACACCCCTCTGTCTGAGGAGGAGGAGGCCTCACTGGTGGGTTTCAGACTACCCTGAGTAGCTGCCCCCTGAGGGACCAGCCTTCCCACCTGCCCAGCTCAACCTCTGATGTGGGATGGGGGGAATTCCACCTGCTCACAGGGTCCCCTGGAGAAAAACTGACTGACCTGGACGGTGTGTGAGTTGGAACCTTGAGTGGCAAGGGTCTGTGACCCTAGGAGTGCTCTGGCTGTCCTGGGCACTGCTCTTCGTGTGGGGGGTTATGCAGCCATGTCCCCTCTGCCTCTTTGCGCTGCAAAGAGCATAGGGTGGCCGGGGGTGGGGGGCACATCAGACCCACAGGGTGCTCATCAGGACTCATGTGATGGCTTTTCATACGTTCGCCTAAAAATACTGTTTACCTCCACCTCGTGAAGGAGAGATTATCTCTTCTCTAGAAGGCGGTAGGGACCCAGGTCTGCTGGGCTCCTGAGCCTGGATGCCTCCCCTCTACTGTGCTTTGGCTACAGGATGCTCGGCAGCTCCGTGATGGCTCCCTTTCCTCTTGAGAGGGACTGGAAGATGGCCCCTCTTGGCCCTCACTCTGCCCTCTCCCTGCCCCACCTCATTCACATCTGGAAGAGTAGTCTTTCAGATCCAGCAGGTGGCGCGTGGCCAGAGGAGAGGCCCCTGGCCTTGGTTTCCCCATCTGGCTCCCAGCTCAGCCTGGGTGCTGAGACCCCAGTAGCTGCTCTGGGGGCCTCCTGGGTGTTTCTTACTTCTGCCCCTCCCTCCCCGGCCCAGGTGAAGGTGTGGTTCCAGAACCGGAGGACAAAGTACAAGCGGCAGAAGCTGGAAGAAGAGGGGCCTGAGTCCGAGCAGAAGAAGAAGGGCTCCCACCACATCAACCGGTGGCGCATCGCCACGAAGCAGGCCAACGGGGAGGACATCGATGTCACCTCCAATGACTAGGGTGGGCAGCCACGGATCCACGAGGGCAGAGCATCTGCTCGCTGCTGGCCAGGACCCCGGGTGGGCCCTGCTAGACTCTGGCCGCTCCCCCGCCAGGCTTCGGGGAGGCCTCGAGTCACGGCCCCACAGGGCTCGGAGCCTGGGGCCACCACTGACAGAGGGACAAGAAATGGGCTGGCTGAGGCCTGGGACTCCTCCACCTCTTCCTCAGAGAGCCCGCCTGCGTGGGCAGGCCGCCGGCCACAGCCACTCTCCACTTCTCTTATCTCCTGCGTTTCTGTTTTAATTTATTTTCCAGGCACCCGCTGTAGTTCTTAGTGATCCCCCTGTATCTCCCTTCCCTATGGGAATAATAAAAGTCTCTCTCTTAATGACATGGGCATCCAGCTCCACCGCCGGAGCCTGTGAGCCCCGGGGTGGGGGGTGGGGTGGATTCCAGCTCTGGGGACCAGAGGGGACTGGCAGAGCAAGCTTGGAAGCCTGGGGTGGGGCCTGGGAGACTCAACTCATTAACTTTTCTCCTCTGTTGGTGGTCCACCCTGGTCTCTAGCTCCAGCTCTAGAGCAAGGGAAACTAAGGCTAGACATTGGGAAGGACCACCCTGTGTCTTAAGGGAGGCTATCTATGCTCTGATCTTTCCAAGCTTATTGAGCGGTAGGTAACGCCCATGTGGGTTAGGGGAGAGACAGAACATGCCCACTTCTGCATGCTGAGAGACTCTGGTGGCTCCTCCAATTGAGGAGAAACTAGAAGAAAAAGGGAGTATTGGGAGCTAGGGGCAGAGCACCATTCACAGAAGTTGACTATCCCAGCCCCAGGTCCTGGCCCCACCGGGCTGCTCATCTATCCCCGGAGAACCTCCCCCCCGCCCCCCGCGTGCAGATGAAAGCTTCCACGTTGGGGTGTAAGGCTGAGCCTACAACCGGTCCCCAAGGACGCAGGGCCTCTAGCCAGGAAAGAATAACAAGGCAGGGCTCGACTGAGCTCTTTAGTTCATCTGCCCTTCTGCTCATCCACTTGCCTCTCCTGCTGTCACACATCAAGGTTTCCTTCATCCTTAAAAAGCAAGACCTGTCTTCCTAACAACCTTTCCCTTACAACGTCCAGACCTGTCTCCACTTCTTCACCTCCCATGTGCTCCCCAACCCTCTCACCAATCACCAATTACCACCACCCGTGGGGGCCAAACTCAGCTGCCGCCTATTTGGCTTTACCTACAGCCCACTCTTCCGGCCATTCCTTCCTTGACTCCAACACCCCCCTCTGCCTTTATTCCGGTGCCTCTGACACCATCACCTGCCTCTCCGAGTCCTCCCGTCTTGTCCTTGCCTCGTCGCCCCTGTCCACTGCAGGGCCAGCCCTCGCGCCTCCTGCCTCTTCACTGTGCCCTCCACCTGGGGCTTCACATCCATGTGTAGGACTTCTCCTGGCGCCCTGGACTCCCTGCAGGCGACCTCTGCCGAGCTGCAGACCCCCTGAGCCCGCCGCCCACATCTGCTGCACTCCAGGCCCCCTGGCACCTCAAACCCAACACGTTCACAGCTGACTCATCTCCCCACCTGTTCTCCTCCAGGATTGCCCACCTCGGCAAACGGCCAAGATTTCTTCTACCTTGGGAAGCAGTGTACATGGCTCCTTGGGGGTGGGAAGGGAAGGAGTGGTAGGTGTAATAAGGTGTGGATGTCAGAGATGAGGCCCCTCCATACTGTGGCTAGGGTTCTCTTCCTTGAGCCCACACAGGACTGTGTCACACTCATCCTAAGCCCCCCACTCTACCCCCACTTCTTTCCCAGCCTTGGCCTCTCCTACCTCACTCCTGGTGCCCTCTGCTTCAGTCTCGCCCATGTCATCCCTGAGCCCCTGTGAGCCATGGGTTTTGCCTGTGCTGTGCCTTTACTCATGTTTCTCTTGGCTCCTGGAATGTGCTGGGGGCTTGATCCATGTTGACGTCAATGTTGAAGACTTGCCTGGGGCACATGCAGGGATCCAAGCACAGAAGTTCCTTTTGCTGGGACCGTCAGCATCTCACTTGGGTCCACTCAATGCTAGAAACCAAAGGGCTTTCTCCCATCCCAATGGCCCTCCCCACCCCATCAACCAGGAAACACATTCCCCACATCTTGGAAGTCCTAACCTCAAAGCGCATTGTCTCACTGCCAAGCAGGTGGATAACCTCTGCAGAGCACGTACACACAAGTGGGCTGAGGTGGAGAAGGGGAGGCGTCCTTTTGGCACCGGTGGGGCCAGAGGAACGGGTGAGCTGTTCCTCTCAAGAGTCTCACTTGGTGGGGGAGGGGGCGCAGGAGGATCCCAGCAGAGTAGCCCCTGTCATCCAGATAAAGGGCTGGAAAGGACCCAAGGAAACCTGCCAGTCTTCCCAGGCCAGGCCTGCGTGGGGCGGGGCGGGAGTCCCCACCGCACTCCCATCCACCCCCCCGTGTTGTGCCTCTCCCTGCAGACGGTAAATATTGGTGTTGTGACTTCATTAATAAAGGCTTCTGTGAGCCTGAAAAACATGGAATCAGGATGAACTATTTTCTGAGCTGCCGGCTTGCCAGGTTTGCTAATTTGGGAGTTTTTGGGCCCTCTCCAGGGAACAAACCAAAGTTTCTCTCAAAGAGACACAGATGCAGCCGGGAAGGGGAGAAGAAGCTGAGGAATGATGCTCCCGTCCCTCCCTCGACTGCTCCTTCCTCTTGGAGATCAGGGCCCTGCAGGTGGACAGGTGGACAGGGGCTGCTTGGCCAGGCGTTCCCCAAATGAGCCCGGCGAGGTCACGTCCCCGCCAGCTGGGCTGGCCTCCCAGGCCCTGCAGAGTCAGACGGCTGCGGTACTGATGACAAGAGACAACCCCACGCTGCATGTGGCTTAAGTGGAGGGAACACGGGGCAGCTGTTCTTAACTCCCGTGGCCCAAGCCATGTGCCTCAGCTTCGGGGAATGATCTTCACGCTCCTCTCATCCATGGAACTTTCCGAGATTAGTCCCCACAGCTCTGTCGCTGCATGGCTTGTGATCTTAGCATCTCTGCTCTTGGTTTTCACCAACTCCTCCTCAGGGGCGCTGTGACTGCTTCCCATGGGGCTTCACGGAACCCGTGCCCAGTGAACTGGGTTCCGCCCGGGAGGGAGCCAGGCGGGGGCCGGCAGGCCTCTGCTGGAGCCCCTGCTCCCGGGCAGCCATGCAGGGGGAGGGGCAGGGAGGCCAGCAGGCTGAGTGGTGCAGGCCCAGCCAGCTTTCCTGTCAGACAGGCGCTGCCAATGCGGAGCCAGACATCGGGAACAGGTTTAACCAATTACCCGAGCGCCCCATCTGCTGTCTGGGGTGTGTGTGAGGGTGAGTGCATGTGAGGGTGTCTGGGAGTGTCTGGGAGGGCTGTGGGCGTGTGCGCGCGACTGTGACTGTGTGGGTGTGTGTGGGCGTGCGGCGGGGCACGTGGGCGGGGTGTGCCGCCTGTCCCCGTCATACCCCCTCATTTGTCAGACTGTGGCCACCAGCTTAGGGCCTTCCTGTCTCCCCAAGACCTGGGGGTCTCCATGAACAACCCACCCAGCGCGCCAGGCCCCCATTCCCCACTCCCCTCCTCACCACTCTCACCCCCAGGGCTTGCGAGAGCCCGGAATCAGGCCTTCTTTCAAATCGCACATTCAGATGTCCTTTCCTATCAGACCACACGTTCTTCCCGCTCACTCGCTCAATTTCCTTCTACATCCGCGCTTTGACCTCCTCACAGGCTGCTCCTGGCCACAGGCCCCTCCGTTGTCTCTCCCACATCCCCTGGTCCCACTGCTCCTTGGTTGCACCTGCCTGGCAAAATCACAAACTTGCTCGAACCTGTTTCCCCATCTGCCCTTGCAGCTGAGTCTGTGAGGACATCAGGCAAGCGTGCTGGATGGCACCCCTTGAAGTCCAAGGTCCCAGCCTCGGTTTAGATTGATAAATCCACTCCTGTTCTCCACAGGGGATGTCTCAAACGGTCACCCTTCTCCCCAAACCTCTTTCCCTGCTTACCCGCAACAGAAGACCTTATTTCCATCTCCAGAGGGAAATGAGAAGCTCTGGAAGAGAACACCTTTGTTACCAACCGGGGGCCAGGAAGAAAGAGATAGTCTCTTCAAATGGGGCAGTCTGAGGAGGGTTGGATAAAGGAACAATTCACAAATTTGGGGACCCCAAGAAGAGATGTTGTAGTGCCCCAAGCTAACGACAGTGGCCCGCAGCCCTGGGGCCTGAAGAGGCAGGGGCAGGAGCAGTCACCAGAACCTGAGAGGACAGATGGATGGAGATGGCCCCAGACAGGAGCTGTGGCCTTCAGTAGCAGGGGGCCCAAGGAGGCAGGGGAGGCCAGGGGAATGAATCCCCCAGTGTCACTCTCTTCAAATCCTTCACTGGGGACTCCCAATCACAGGAGCCAGATGGCAAGTCCATACAAGTCAGCCTCCCGGGACAGAGAGCGGGTAGAGAATGGTGCAGAGTGGATCTGGGGGGGCCAGGCAAGCTAGCCTCTCACCCCCCCAACCTCCTACCCTCAAGCCCACACCACCTCTGTCCTGTTACCCGGAGACCCTCCTCTCCTTCGGGCCCGCCCCTCTCCTCTCCGGGGACCTCACTTCTCTTTCCTGCCTCCCCAGGCTCCTCCCTCTCACCCGTTCCTGTCCACATGCCCGAGTCTTCCTTCTGACACCTTCCCTTAGCCCCACATGGTGCTGCAGACATCATCAGGTCTCAACGCCCAGCTCACAACCCAATTTCTTGGAAATTCTTTGTTTTACAAGTTAAGGTACACGGGCGGCCAGTCGGAGTCCTACGAACTTCCCAGCCCATGGACATCTGGCTTTTGCCTGACCACACTCCACTGAGACTATTCTCTCCAGGTCCTTCCAGGGGACATGCTGTGTGTCCATCTTCCTCACCTCCCAGCACCTGTTCAGTATGTGGACAACCTCCCCTACTGGAAGCATCCTCGTCTCTTGTCTACCCCGTTCTCCTCACCTTCCTCTTACCCCCGGCATTAATGTGCTGGGGCTGTCAGGACAAACACCACAGACGGGGCAGCTTAAGCGACAGGGATTTATTTTCTCACAGTTCCGGAGGCTAGACGTCCGAGCTCAAAGTGCCAGCAGGGCTGATCTCTCCTGAAGCTTCTCTTCGTGGCTTGAAGGTGGCGGTCTTCACGTTCACACGGTGTTTCCTCTCTATGGATGTCTGTGTCCAAATTTCCACTTCTTATACGGTGACCAGTCATACTGGATGAGGACCTGCCCTCATGAGCTTGTTTTACCTTAATGACCTCTTTAAAGACCCTGCCTCCGGATACAGTTG